GGGGCGCTCAGTACCGTTTATATCCACTTAAAATATATTCTTTAATGGATTTTACTGAAAAGCGTTGATCAGAGGTACAAAAAAGTACGTAAATTTGAGGTTTCCAATAACACTTTAGCTTTGGAAGTCCCCAAACTTTCTGGCCGATTTCTCACCACCAATTCTGCATTCAACACCAGGCCATCTCATGTCTTTCAATCATAAATATCTCGACTTCTATTCAGGATAGATGGGTAGGGATTTTTCATCAAAAGCAAGGTAAATGAAGAGGCTTCAAGATTATACCAAAAACTCCATAACACGCCCAAAGATTGACGATCTCCTAATTCTACCGTGTCGTTTCGCACATAACACTGTCTTTATCGTCATCCATGTTAACCTGGAACAGAATACATAACCTCGACCTTGAACTTATATAACCTTACTGACCTACAAGCTCCAACCTTCGATGAAACCTTTGGCCTAAAAATAAACCATTATGGAGCTTTGTATACTTCTCAGGACCAGAATAGGCTGTACTATTAAGACATCCGACGACCGACAGGTCTGTCACGCCCTTCAACATTCCCACCAACCGATCATACCCTTCACATACACACATACCCTACACACACACACACACACACACACACACACACACACACACACACACACACACGTTCACACACACGTTCACACACATATAAACATACACACCCACAAACACTCACACTCACATATACACAAACTGCGAACATACACCCACACAAACACAAATACATAATCTCCCCAACAAGCACACAGACCAGTTGCTATGACCGCCCACTACTACGTAGTGACCACCAAGACCTTAGTAGTTATCCATGCACACCTGGTAATTGGAAACCTCCCCCCATCTATTGTACGGACGAAATAATGTGTTCTCACTGAGGATGTTATAAACAGTTACCATCCTATTTCCTGTGTCAATTCCAAGACCATTGTAAACCTCACACCAGGAGTGTTTTATCTACCGCCACCCACTCCTTTCGTGCAAAGAGATTGTTATACACTGACACAAATAAAAAAGCTGCCTTGATTGAACTGGACCACTTTATTCGAAAAAAAAAAAGAAGAAGCTTTTCCCACAAGGTTAAACGTAATTTTTGTAGACACTGTTTGAGGAAAAAACAGAGAGAAGCTCGTACGATAATGCAAACGGAGAAACTGGAATTAGGAACTGATTTTGTTTTTGAAACAGGAAACCTTCAATTCTTGATGTTGTTCAGTGTTGCAAAGTTATGGAAATAATGGGGGGGGGGTTATCATGTCACAAACATTGTCCTAGAATACCTCAAATATTTTCTTCGAAAACTCATTAGTCATGGGTGTGCTTAAGTCGTATTCTCAATCGAAGTGAAGATACAAGTTATTGAAGGCGCAAGTCACAATAAATCGTCTAAAAGTTGTATTTAGGCCTGTGCGTTTCAGGGGAAACATACCCAAGTTGGTGTTCAGCGTTTGGGCCTTCGCCGAGAGATTTATTTTTAAGAAAAGTGCATATTGTGTATTAAATTGTGTTTTACGCTTTGCAGTGTGTACAACTCCTATATGTGAGACAGGGTAAAGTCATGCGCTCTTCTAAAAAATGAAATTGAAAAGTTGACTTTTTCCTCCCGTTTGGCAATTTTTATCAACTGCTCTACCGGAATG